CGTCAGAAAGGTCCAAATGATATCGGGCTCTCCATTGGTTCGATACGCCAAGAAAAATTTTATTAATTCATTTATTACACTTTTATAAATATTCCTTCGAGCTATCTACTCGATTTTCCATCTTTGCTTTTTTGTAAACTGTTTCTTTTCTGTAGTCACATTTAATTGGTTTATTTCACTTGCTCTTTCAGAAATTGTATATACGAATATTTTACTAGGCAATCTTTAGATTTTGGATTAAATAATTGCTCCGAATAATTGTTGGATCCAATTTGTGATCCAACATCGTCGATTAAATACATTCAAAGCTATAAAAAAATAAAGCTTAAAAGCATAGTATATACATATCAATAGAAATCAATCTTGGATAATTGGTAAGAATAAACGTGGTACTTTACAACAAGATAGTATTTTTTGAAAGAACAAGTTACGAAGAGTAAGATGTTTATCGTTGTCATCGAAAAAAAAGAGAGAGAGACAGAGGGAGAGAGAGATGTCGTCGCGAAATAGAAAAATATTGATGTAGGAAAGAAAAAGAAATACGTATAATAGATTGTCGTCGTATCTTTCACGTGTGACGGTTTCACGATATCTCGGACCAATGGTAGTGATCTGTGTTTCTATGCTAGCCTGACACGAAAAAGATCCCAATAGATACGTGCGAGTATATTTTTACACGTCGTCATTATTTCGTAGTATTACTATAGATCTTTTTCGACTTGCTATGTATAACTTAATTCCTGTTCAAAGCTCGATAATATTTCAATGTCTGAATCAATTTTCATGAAATTTCGTTTGTGAGAATATTTTTAATATTCGCACGTTACGATGAAAGAATTCAATTCAGAAGTTCTATTACGAGTGTATCTATTTTAACGAAATAAAATGTAATAGATAAAATAAATGTCTACTGTTATTAAATTTGGAAATTTCCTTGTCTCTTTTGTTTCTTCGATATTGATATTCGACAGATCAATGATAAATCTTTGCATCGGGTGAATCTTTTCGAAATCCTCCAAATAAATTCTTCGACTGTCGAGTATGCATAAATCCAAACACGGGAAGGAAACGTTTATCAGTGCACTCGTAGCAGCCTCTGTTCGGTAGCACTTGTCGGTTAAGCCTGGATACTTCACCTCGAGGGTCTCTTGTCATTAACAAATTGTGAGGTAGAACCAAACGGCAGTCGAGTCGAGTAGAAACAATTAGTTATCTGAGTATTCCTTGCCCCTGACATTTAAAAAGATCTATCTCTATGGAGACTAGACGACACACGGTTATCACGATTATCCCTTCGATCGCGAAAAATTCTTTGTTTGTTGAGCAATCGTTTCTTTTGGCGTGGATAAAACACTCGTTTCGATGAAATGTCGAACGATCCCCCCGAAATTTTCGATGAACGAAACGAATGGTTCGAGAATTGAATATTTTCGATATGAGTAATTCAAAATTTCGTACGATTTGAATTATTCTCGAGAATCGCGAGAGTGGATGGCAACGTTGTGATTATAGTGAAAATTATTGGATATTCGTAATGTAGGATTTATTTATATAGAAATATTTTTTAAAATTTTATTTTTGTGTAAAATTACGATGATGATTAGAAGAGAGAAAGGAAATTTGAAGTTTTTAATTCGAAAAAGATCGTGAAATGATCATTTCGTGTTATGTCGAATATGTTGGAGAACAATATTAGATGACAGTATTGATATTACGATGCAAGAATTATTGTTTAAATGAATGTTACAGTCAAAGAATGTATAGATATACCAATGTAAACGAAAAGGTACAAATATTTTAAGATTAAATAGTTTTCAGAAGTACTTAAAATTTTGTTGCGAGATGTTAGAATTCACTATTGTACACGATAGCAGAACTGGAATTACAAATAAAGAAAAAAAGATAAGTCCAACATTTGTTGATTTCATGATTATGATAGTACTTGATATCTAAAAGATTCGGTACGTATCGTTTAATACGAAATAATTGAAAAAGAGAGACATCTTATTTGATCCGATGATTTCCAATCCAAAAATATGTGATCCAATCTCTCGATAATAATCAATTTATCCGAACTACGAATTTTCAAAATTATTTCAACACGTACGAAAAAAAAAGTATAAATTACTCATCTTTGTTCGTTCCATACTCTCAACTCAAACACATCCCTTAAATTAAACTAAAGCATCAAGAATATAAACAATTATGAAAACTTTCTTTCAATAAATTCGATACAATTTCCAAGAGTACGAGGAAAGTATAAATTTCGTCTCGAAAAACTCGAAATTAATTAAAATAATTAGATAATTTCTTTTTTTTTTTTTTTTTAATTTTCACATAGTAATTCGAGAAGATCCAAATTATATTTTAAATTCAAAGATAATAAAAAAAAAAAGAAAAATATACATTTGTGTTTTCGTTTGAAATGTAACGTGTGGTCACTGCAATTCGTGTTCTTTATCACGGCTAATTTGTGGGATTCTTGGTGACCGACAAACACGATCGGCAGAACGGCATCACGTCACGAGCTTTCTTCCGTTCATTTTCTAGGACAGTGTAACGCACTTATCTGTCCATCGAGCACATGCACGACATATGGGCCGTAATCTCAACTTATCGTGATTGACGATAAGGGATATTTTTTTTTTCGCAAGAATGAACGCTCCGTATCTGTGTTATTAATATTATGACCAATATAATAATGTCTCGATCGGCTATATTATTGCACAAAATTTATGTACAATAATTTATATCCATTCCATCCAACGCTTCGAAATGCAGTACTCGTTAAGATTTATTGGCTATTGAATGTTGAGAGTACGCGATCCTTGTGTCTGAGATTGAAACTATTGAAAATTTTTACAGAAGAAATTTTATTTTTAAAATTCTTTTTTGTTATATTCGTATTTTTTTTTTTACATATTTTATCACACATGTGTAATTTCATTGCACATTTGAAGAAAGGGAGGATTTAATTGAAGGATTACGCGTTTCTTTTACGTGCTTAAATGTTCATTGATTCGATTTAAATAAATTGTAAGAGTGTTGTGTGTGTACGTGTGTTTTTTTTATATTTGCAAAAAATTTGTAAAAGTGTAAAAAAAACATGGCAAAGGTCGAACTTCGGTTAAATTGTAATATACAGGGTGTTTTAAGATAAGCGAGCATTCAAAATGGCTGCTGCTAAATCGCGATAAGAATTGTAATTAAAAATTTGTTTGATCATAAAAAGGAAGATATATCATTACTATTATATGCTTTTATATCTTTTAATTGATTACGATTTTTTTCTTTTCTTTTTTTCTTTCTTTTTTCTTTTTTTTACTTTAATCTATAATCTAGAAATTCATGACAGTTATTAATAGAGGTTCGGTGAAAATGTAATGTGTATTAAGCAAGATGATGACTTTAAAAATATTTTACTTGTCTATATCGATGGTAAGTTGATAAATAAACATTTCTTAAATAAATGATAATAATTATGCATAATTCGCAAAAATATCTCATTAAAGAAAAAAAATCGTTATCATTTCCTCTAATTTCCGATTTTAAAATAAAGAAAATTTTATCATTCAATTTTTACTTCTTTTTCATCGTTAGTCCATCCGATATTTGATTTTATTCTTCAATTTCTCGTAAAATATAATCATATTTTAGACACTTGTCAACGAATACTCATCAAAATTTATCAAATTTGTGCAATCTGAAATGTCACGAGATTATTTTTAAATCTATTTTGCATCGAGCCAATTACAAAAAAAGTTTAAATTCGTTTAAGTCGAAGATTTCGTAAATACGAAGACGTTAGATTAAATAATATATTCACGTAAAATAAATTAAAACGTTTCGCGATAACGATTCGATGTATTTGTGCGACGAGATAGAAATATTAATTGCGGGATGACGTTTGTCGAATTTTCGCGATCGAGACGATCGGAATCAGAGAATGATAAAAGAACGATGGTATAGAAAAAAAGTATCGTTCTTTTCGTAATTTTTTTTTTTTTTTATTATTTTCCAATTATTCGAAGAGAAATTGTTTTCATGGGAAATATAAATTGTAATTTTGGAGAATAATGATTTTTAAATGGATACAATTTTTCTTTCTTATAAAATCTTCTTAAGAAAAGAAAATTAGCATCTATGTTGCGTAGCAATTGTTTATAAACAGAAAATTATTTTAGAGAAAAACCGAAGAAAAATTTATAATACATTGTAATTTTCCTTGAATCTATGATCAGTAACAAATTCAATAAATATTTAATGTAATAGGATAACGAAAAAGCTTCTGATATCTGTACTTTTTTTTTTTTTTGATCTACAAATCTTGTTTAAACCTTTCTTAAATTCTATTCTATTCTATTTTTCAATTACTATTTCTCCTCCCCCTAATTATTAATCATCACTGTCTACAAAAATAGCTCGAACTTTCCTTCTTCTGGCTGGTTATTTTTGTAACACACAATCGCATACGAAACATTGCAATTGTATGCCAATTATCTCACGACCGAGAGTGTGAAAACGATAACGTGGCCCGTACTTTGAGCAACGGTCGTGGAAGTTTACACCGAGGCTTAATAGATCAGACTTTTTGCTCAATATTTCACAAGTGGCCAAAAACTCTCCTCCGCCCCATCGTTCGACCATTATCTCCCATTATCTGCCATTTTTTTCATCGCGCTAATGACAATATTTCGATTCGAAAAACGAAGCTTTCATTTTTTTTTTTCTTTTCTTTTTTCAAAATGAATCCGCCCGCAATGGATAATGCCATCGATGGACTTACTTCGTGATAGAAACTGGAGATTAGAACGGAAATGTTCTGATCGTTTTCGAGAAATTTTTATGCAACGATCTCTCTCCTTTTCATCTCAATGATTAATCGAATTGTGCATCGATCGATGAGGAACAAGTTTGAATTTGAATTTAATGAAATTGAATTTATTTTGCGTACGTATTGTTGTATTATTATTTCGAGCATGTTTGGAATACGTGTATTTGGAAGTTGCTGCAAAATGTTTTTCTTTATTTTTTTTTCCTTTTTGTAAAACAAATATGTTATTTATTCAGCTTGTTTCATTACAATTATTCAGTAAAAAAACAAAACGAACAACGTAAATTACAACGAACTTGCTTCGATGAAAACCGGAGATTAGAAAAGTTTTTTGATATTTTTCGTGAAAAAATTCTTCGTCTTCTTTTTATCGTACAAATTATTAATCATCGCGATGGAACGATTTCGCGATACCTTTTCTAATTTCAATTATTAATCGAATAAATAATAAAAAATAAGCCACAAGCATCTTGTGGCTTAAGTGTATTAATGAAAATCACAGTGAAGGAACTTTTAAGAGGGAACAGCGTCTCCATCTGTGTTCACTGTTCGGTCCATGTAGGTTTATTGCGGCCATATTTTTTGGACTTGTAATAAGATTTCCCTTGTACGGCTGAATAACTCTCTTTTGAAGGAGATCTACGAGTTCTCGATAACGCGGAAGCTTCTGACGCCCGTGTCTCCTCTTTCGAAGGAGAGTTACGAGATTTCGGCAGTGTGCCTGCCTCTGATGTTTCTGAACAACTCTCTTTCGAAGGGGAGTTACGAGATTTCGATAGTGTGCCTGCCTCTGATGTTCTGAACAACTCTCTTTCGAAGGGGAGTTACGAGATTTCGTGCTTGTCTCTGTTTGAGCTTTCGAGGGACTCTCTTTCGAAGGAGAATCACGAGATTTCGATAGTGTGCTCGCTTCTGATGCTTCTGAACAACTCTCTTTCGAAGGGGAATTACGAGATTTCGATAGTGTGCTCGCTTCTGATGTTTCTGAACAACTCTCTTTCGAAGGAGAATCACGAGATTTCGTTTGATTTGTCTCTGTTTGAGTTTGAGTTTTCGGGGGACTCTCTTTCGAGGGAGAGCTACGAGTCTTCGGTGACGTGGAAACTTCTGAGGAATTCCCTTTTGAGGGGGAGCTACGAGATTTTGGCGACGCGCAGACTTCTGAGGAGTTCTCCTTCGAGGGAGAGCTATCGGATTTCGATAAGGTGCAAGCTTCTGTTGTAGGGGGGGTCGAAGTTTTCTTCTCTTCGGTATCTTCTGGCGCTGAGCTTGGTTCTGAAATTGTCGATACGATGTCAGGTTTATTTAATTTTTTTAATAGTTGCGATTAATATTTTGTCGATATTATACAGTGGTTATGTTCAGGATTAAATTTTCATCGAGTTGGTTTGAAGATGGGTACTGGATTATGATGATTTTTTGCTTCGATTCGAATTGATTGCATATAGTTTAGATCGTTTGACACAAAAATGAATAAAATTTTATCTTAATTGAAATACCTGTGGACGATTGTTGCAATGCAGAATTTATTTCTCCATTGATGAAGTCTTTGGTCACACTGCTCGCCTTTGCCACCGCGGATTCTAAAAAGAACAAAAATCTGTTAGATTTGAATCTTTTATTCAAATCCAATTCGATCAACGTTGCACATTTAAACTACGTTTAATTGACTTCGTAAATTAAAATTTAGTCAAACAAATTGCCACTTAACTTGTCGAAATCCAATTTCTCTAAGAGATTCTTCCTTAATTACGAACACGAGAAGGAAAGAAAGAAAGAAAGAAACAAACAAACAAACAAACAAACTATTCTTTACACAAGCTGGAACTAATTTTGCATCGATGCTGCGTTCTCAACGCATATACAATTTCTGTTGTTCCAAGATCTTTCGACTGCTTCAAAGATCCATAGCAAAAAATCCTGGAACATCATGGAAGTGCATTCCGATTTTTCTTAATGAATAAAAATTAATCTTAGGATAAGGCTGTCGAGAAGACACATGGTCGACGAGACACATTTCACATATCTTTGTCACATATATCTTTATTCTGATCATTCAATTTTATGATTCAATTTTTGTCTGACACGGGATCGAGCCTCGGCCGAAAGAGTGGTTCATCGGAACGATCGCGATTGTTCCGGTGAACCAGCCGATGGCCGTGGCTCGTGCGAGGTCGTTTCTTAGTCCTCGTCGAATTCCTTTGCCGACGAATACACGGACTCACCAGAACTGTCCATGGCGCCCTCGAGTTTCGCGCCATCCTTCGTTTCCTCGTCCTTCATCGATTTCGCTATCTGCAATTTCTAAATAGAAAGAACACGTATTGTATAAAGTGTTGGAAAAAGAGGCAAAGACTGTTAAATGTTTAATGAGTTTAATTAATGGTCGATCGTTAACGAGCATCACGAAGAGAATGAAATTTTTGGATGCAGCGTGATCTGTGTACTTCTTTCTTAAGGATTTTTGATTAAATTGAAGCGAATTATATGCAAAACTGTTAAAAATATTTTTCATTGAGAGTACGTCAATGGACGCATATCTTATTGACGAAAAATAATTCTCGAGAGCAAAATGATTAAAAATGTATTTGTTAATAATTTTTTTTTTTTTAGATAGTGCAAATGGGTGTTCTTTAATTGTGGTGGTACAATCTTGAAAAACTAGGTCGAAAATAAATATATCAGTATTTTGTAAATTAAGATTAATTAACGAATTAAGATTTTTACTTGTTTGTTGTATTGGGTAACGGAGATAAAAAGATAGGATACATTCGCATGTGATAAATTTTATTGCTTTTAATAAAATTATTAAAAATATTTGAATGTTATTCTATAGATTATATACACACAGTTTCTTTATTATCAATCTTCCAATATGCAAAACATATCTATTTTTAAAGAATTGTTTATATTAACAAACAGATTTCGAATTTTGTTATTTAAGATTAAATTCAAACATCGATGAAAAATATTTATTTATATTTTATTAATGATCTATGCTTTTCCTCCTGATAAGATAATTACATGCAATAATTTTAAATTAACGTACGTAAAAATTACGTATATCAAATTACGTATATATTTATATGCATGATCAACTACGCATATGAATTTATCTCTATCATTTTCCAGAGTTATTGACGTAAAAAGTTTACAAAGTTTTTTTTCTTCCATTTCTAATTGCATATATTTATTACAAGAATCATGCGAAAATTCGAATCATAAATTTATGGCGTAAGTTTCATCGCAAATCGCAAATTTTTGTTCTGTATTTTTTTTCTTTTTAATTTCTTTCTTTTTTTTTTTATACTCAAACTACTTCAATTACTTTAAAAAAAAATTTATTTATACATCCATAAGAAGAAAATATTTAAATTTCTAGAAAGAAATGAAATTATTTTTAAAGGATTTTTGGTCAAAATTCAAATTTTATGAAATTTTCTAAGATTTTTCAATATTATCAATATCGTTTATTTGTTGATAAACTTTATTCTATATTAAGACTCTATTTAAATTTAATAAAAATGTTCTAGATCACATCATCTAATTAAAATCATTATTACATAGTTACA